AATAATTACGTTATCAAAATAAGTTTGTGCTGTAAATTGTTTCCAGCATTGTTCCTGTTTCTTCTTGTCGGAGGCTACTATTTAGCTGAAGCCCAGAGCCCGCAATAAATCTTTAGGCTGTCAGCAGATCGGCCTCTACATTTTAGGCACGTGCAAAACAGGGTGAGACAGTGTGTTACTGGATTTTGAACATTATAGGCACTTACAGTAATACCTCGGTTTAAGAATTTAATTCGTTCTGCAGGACTTTTTCTTATAACGAAAAATTCTTAAACCGAAACGCCGTTTCCCATAGGAATGCATTGAAAACCAATTAATCTGTTCCGGAGATCAGAAAAAGTAAACACTAATAAATACCGCATGAGTCATTTTATCAAGTGATGCGGCATTTTAGTAGTGACAACCATGTGTTAATATTTCAGCTGTCAGCGGGGTTCCCCACTGACAGCTGAATGTAAAAGAATTGCCGGCAATTAAAAAAATAATCTAAAAAACTGCGTGGGGTCCCCCCACCCATCCATACCAAGCCTTTCGTTTCTGGTATGGATTTTGAGGGGAACTCCCACACCAAAATTTAAATCAAAATGGCGTGGGGGTCCTCCCCAAAATCCATACCAGACCCTTTTCAGAGCATGCAGCCTGGCAGGTCAGGAAAGGGGGGGGGGGCAAACAATGTTTCTTTTTAGTTTCTTAAAAAAAAAAATTTCCGTTAACTTTGGGGAAAGTGACAGCTAATTCTGTGAGCTATAGTGAAGAAAAAAAAAAAAAGCCAGCAATTGCATTTAAAAATCAGCACTGACATACACCTCGTATTGCGAAAAAAATTCATACAAAATTTGTGAACCGAGGCATTATTTTCAGTGGATTTTCATTTGTAAACTGAAAATTACTTTAACCGAGGCGTTCTTAAACCGAGATATTACTGTATTTTTAACATTTTATATAGCTATACCTGCAAAAAGGGGCCAGCCTGTACTGATCTAGCAGGACTTAATTTTCTGACTAAAGCTCTACTTTAGGAACTGGCACTCTCCCATGTCCCTTATGGCAAAAGGAGTGCTGTCTCTGTTAAATTCCACTATCCTAAGCAAGTCCTCTATCAAGCTGCTTTTTATTGCATCCATTGAAAAAAAAACAAGCTAAATAAAGTCCTCTCCAGCAGAATAGGGTGACATTTGGCTCACTCTTTCAAAGTGTTCATAAAATGTACACAAGTACAGGAAAATGCCTATAAGGTAATGTTTCACTGGTATTTTCCTCCATCAAGAATCATCAAGTGCATTCTGTCTTATCCTGCTTCTTGCTTTAGGGCAGGGGTCCTCAAACTTTTTAAACGGGGCCAGTTCAATGTCCCTCAGACCGTTGGATGGCCGGACTATAGTTTTTAAAAAAAAAACTATGAACAAATGCGGACACAGTACAGGAGATGACCAGAGACTGCGTTCATAGTACATGAGATGACCAGAGACTGCGGACATACAACGGCGGCGGGAATACTGGGCCGGCCGCTCCATAAGACGCACAGACATTTCCCCCCAAGTGTGTCTTATGGAGCAAAATATACGGTAAATGCAGGACACCTTGTTGGGTCAGATCTGTGTACAATGTAAAGAGAGAGGGGGGGGGAGAGAGGGGGGGGGGAGAGAGAGAGAGAGGGGGGGGAAGGAGAGAGGGGGGGAGAGGAGAGGGGGGGGGAGAGGGGGGAGAGAGAGGGGGGGAGAGGAGAGGGGGGAGAGAGAGGGGGGAGGGGGGAGGAGGGGGGGAGAGGGGGGGGAGAGAGAGGAGGGGGGGAGAGGACGGGGGGGAGAGAGAGGAGGGGGGGAGAGAGGAGGGGGGAGAGAGAGGGAGGGGGGGAGAGGAGAGGGGGGGGAGGGGGGGGGGGGGAGGAGGGGGGGGGGGGAGAGGAGGGGGGAGAGGGGGGGGAGAGAGAGGGGGGGAGAGAGCGGAGGGGGGAGAGAGGAGGGGAGAGAGGAAAGAGATCGGAAAGAGAGAGGGAGGAGATCGATCATCTATTGCACTTATCTAGGGTCCCGTGGCCATGATACCCAACATGCAGCGATGGAGTCTCCTCTCTTGCTCCCCCTCTTCATGATCAGCTCTATGCTCTGCCCTCCGGCCGTGACGGTTGCATGCACTGATCAGAATAGATGGCCGGCTGGCTGCAGACACGCTAGATGAGAGGTGCGGGTTCATAAGCCCAGCCCACCTTCCCCTGTTCTAGAATTGCTGATCCCTCCCTCCTGCCTCCCGCCCGAGCCCTGCCGAGCTCTTCCGATCTGCCTGCCAAACCCTAGTCCCTTGCCCGGCGGCCAAATAAATGTCCTCGGCAGGCCGCATGTGGCCCGCGGGCCGTAGCTTGAGGACCCCTGCTTTAGGGGATGCTGAGAGACAGATGACATGCTGAAAATAAGGTGGTTATACTATGGTTAACTCAAGGCTCTTCTTCATAAACCTATTGATAATGACTGTGCCGCAGTCTGATACTCCAATAATGAGAAATTAAATGCTAATACTAAAGACACTCATGACAACTTTCTCTAGCTCCCTATCATGACTGAACCTTTACTTTTCCCTACTCAATGATCTCTCATAACTAATTTAGCAGCCTCTGAGAATCCCTCTTTCTTTCCCCCTCGACACCCACACCCTTCTTCTTTCCCTACCTTCTCTCTTCAATATGTAACTATATGCATACTATATGTCTTTGTTTTCATCTCAATAAAATTTTCTGGTAGCAGAAACATAAATATTATTGACACCCCTATAGTTACTTTGGGCCACTGTATACATCCCGTTATTCACGTCCCAGTATTTGCAATCTAATTCAGAGATTCAAATACTTATAGACTTAGGGGTTGATTCATGGAACCAGAAGAAAATTAAAAATTATATGAAATTGAATTTGTTTCCCCTTAGGGACCAATCACAATTCTTGTTTAAAGTTTCCATAAATTAAAAATGAACCCTGATAAGCTGCTATTATTAAAAACTCCAATTTTATTATAATGTTTTATAATGTTTTTTCTTTAGCTACTTAATTTACTGCAGAATGCATAATGTGTGAGGATTTTAAGTACAGAGAAGAATTCCTACAGACTAAACTAGGAGGGTGGTGGATGCCCCGATTTACCAGCAGCACTGAGCTAGGATCTTCTCAAGGAGCAAGCTCTGAGAGCCACCAAGTCTTCACCAGAGACCCTGCTGATGGGGTTTTGCAGTCCTTAGGTATAATGTTTGGATGCCATTGATGGTGACAATCTGTAACTAGAAAGGCAAGCTGAGCAACTGACAAAGGGTCATATACTGCCAGGCATAGACAGTGCCATGTGATGTAACAGAGACTAAGGGCTCGTTCACACTTGACTTTTTTTCCAACTCTTGCCAAACGCCCCTATAGCATTTGACAAATGTTGGTCCGTATGCACGGTTTAGCGGCGCTTGCTAGGCGTTTGCCAAGAGTTAAAAACGCCCCACAAACGTCTATAATGAAGTTTGAATGGTGTTAACATCCGCAAATGCAACCGCACTGAAAACGCAGGCCGGGTGTTTGGGGAGCTGCACCATAGACTTGAAAAGGAGGCTTCAACTCCTCCTGACTCGACCAGAGGCGTCCGTTTTGCCCCGACGCGATGCTAACACTCCTGTGTGAACAGCACTATGTGCTGCAATGTGCAGAATTTTTCGAGACGCTTGGAAAACGGTAAAAAAACGCTTCCCAAACGCCTGTCTGCCGCTTGCTGACAAGGCTAGTGTGAATGTAGCCTTAGTCAGGTAGTGTAGCCAAAATTAATTGTGAGGATTAATTAAATACTTAACCAATCAGGATGCTCTTCAAAACCCAGTAGGGTTTGCAAGCTCTAAGCCACAATCCTGCCGGTGGATAGGAAGCCTGAAGAATACAGGTAATGCTGGCACATGCACATGGAAAATGCAGGAGTGAAAGAGGGCCCTGCCAGCACAGCTGAAGTGCTGCAAGGTCCAGAAAAACATCAAAATAAATGAAAGCAGAGGAAAGCAAGGGAGAAATGCTAGATGAACTGGGAAAGACCAATCCATAATTTATACCAAAAGCCTTATTACACCCTAGAAGACAGACTGTATTGTAGATCATAGTCTGCCTGGATGAGCACACAACTTGGAAGTTCCTGAGAATATGCATGGCTATTATTGCAAGTGATAAAAACATGTGCTTTACCGTAAGCCGTTCCACAGTCCACTTGTCAGACTACACATTTCTCTATACCAGTGTTTTTCAACCAACCTGTCTTCATTCAAGGCACCCTTTAAAATTCTGCACCCCATTCTAAAATTAAACTAGAATTCCAGCATTTCCCCCACAGTTTCTTTCCCTTTTTATTAATTACATAAAAAGTGACTGCCGTTAACCCTAATTAATGCGGGATGGAAGAATATAAACTTTGAATGTTACAAGTGATCCATACATCAACTTCATTCCTATAAAAATTAAATTTGTTTAACAATTACTTCATGTCTCATAGATGAATAGGCAGCTGTTAAAACAGGAGGCTGTAATTAACCCCAGTTCCAACAGAGATGGACAGGGGAAGGGTTAAACAAGGATACTATGCAGGTGCCCAATGTCCTCCTTATAAACCAATGATGTCATTGATTGTTCGGACACTGGCGGCTAGAAGGTTGTAATGGTGCACAATAAAAACTTGGAGCTTTGTGTAACTAAAAGGCAGTCTTGATCCACCCGCTAGCTTGTATACAGTTTTTGGGAATTTTTAAGCATTTAGCCAAGGCACCCCTGAAGAAACCTGCAGGCACCTTAGGGTTCCTGGGCACCCTGGTTGAAACAGGCTGCTCTTTACAATGCCCAGTGGTATATAAACCATCTGGTGATCATTAGGTCAGTCTACAGCTATACCACTGTCCGTAAAGACCTTTGCTATTTTGAAGAAACCGCAGACCACTGAATACACATCATTATGCATAAACCAGAGAACAGACACTGATAACTTTGGCAACATACTCACTTTAAGGTCTCTGTGAATAAGCTTTTGTGAATGAATATATTTTACGGCTTCAATTATCTGCCTAAAAAACTGCAGGCTCTCACACTTGTCAACGGCTTTTTTATAGTTTCTCTTCTTAATCCATTGTTTTAAGGATCCATTTATACATAATTCCATTTGAATAAAAAGATACATTTCAGTTTGTTTCAAATCACTGGAAGACAAGAAAAAACTCAACGTGTTAATAAACCTCATTATAAAAATATATATACAATACATTTGCATATCACATACATTTGTGTAGCTGCTTTTTTTTCTTTATAGCACCTCTAAGCAAAAAACTTGTCTTTACAAATTCAATCTTGATATCCCCCTAGAAGATTACTTCATTTCGCCCTCCTGGTTAGAAATGTGTGATGACATGCAAGAAGAACCACAAAGCAACGAGCAGAAGCTAAATGCTCTGGCACCAGCAGCACAAGGAATCATGAGACATGTAGCCTAAATGCAGTAAACCATCTGAGTTGTGCTTGATATGAACGCTCACTGGCTAGAAGACTGAGGGAGCGCTGGGAACTACAGGAATAATATTTGAGGAAAAAATATATTGGATCTGGCAATAGCTAATAGTCATGTGCTACTATATGTAAAATTAACTTTTTTTAATCAATTTCAACTAGCAACTTCCACTAGCAACTATCCACTGCAACAAAAATTAACTTTAATGTACCTAAACTGAGTTCTGTATAAATCCTACATCCCATTCAAAGTTTCAAGATAGGAACTAGTGGCTGGTAGAAACTCCTTAGCAGGAATGAGCTCAGGTGGCTTTGGACATGAGTCTGAACCTGCCTGAGCTCATCCTGCCAGGATGTAGTCACTGCGGAAAGTGTCAAGGTCCTACCTTTTCCCTGAGGTTATGTTACTCCATGTGCTGGCATCCATCTTGGAATTCTGCTGTGCATGGTGGGAATCCTTTTATGCCTTCAGGTCTCTGAGGTCCATCCCCCAGAGGGGTGTGGCTGATGACATATAAGCCTGTGGCCCGCACATGCTCTTTGCACTTGTGTCTTATGTCTTTGTGTTGCTAATACTCTGGTCTGACTCTCGTGACTCTCCTGGTATCTGATTCGGCTTGTGACTTGACTATTCTTTGTATTCTCCCTTTGATCTGACCCTCTGTTGCTGAACCCGGCTCGTGACCTGTGATTCTCGTCTGCTGTCCTGTACTGTTTTGTCCTGTTGTTGTTGACCCGGCCTGTCTGACTACTCTTTTGTCTCTTTCACCAGCTACACGCCATTGGCGGCGGCCATTACCGCAGCTGAGGTGTCTCGGGGGCCGCGACCTGGTTCCTGGCTGCGTCAAGTCCATCCCCACCATCAGGGCCCTGGTGAAGGGCAACCTGGGACTTAGACTCCGCGCCCTGAGGGACTTCGGTCTGTGGGTGGTGGTTGTCGTTAGCCAGTGCGTTACATTGTTAGGCCTGCCTGTCCGTTCCTCGGCCCCTGCCCTGACAGAAAGCAAATCATAAGCGGTGCAGATATTTCCTGTCTCATGAACACACACCCCTAGTATATGTGCAGCTACGGGGTAGGAAATGCCTCCCTCTGATTGGCTATCTCTGCAGTAACAACTTTCTGGCGAGGTAGACCAAGCAGGTTCAGACTTGTGTCCAAACATACCTGAAGTCATTCTTATTAAGGAGTTTCTTCTAGCCACTAGTCAGATTCATTCCTACCTTGAGTTAAGCTCAACACACACAATACATCTAAAGGAGAATGTACAACAATTGTACAGTCAGTTTGATATAGTGAGTTAAAGACTGTGCTATAAATGTAGCTGGATGAGAAAATGAAGTACTGAGCGGATGTACCATGTATGAATGTTGAGGTTTAATTTTCAGTCCTTCGTACCTTTAACCTTTTTGTTCCAATTTAAAAATAGTTGTCACTGACGGACGCAAATTCTCCATATATTACTACTGGAAAATCACTTAATGGCATGTGATATTCAATTTGATTTAATTCACCCTGTAGTGGATTCTTTATCAGCATTCACTTGTGGAGAAAGGTAACAATGCTAGCTCAGATGAAAAGTACAGTTTTGCATGTCATGGCCCTATTGTTGTGGGAAAGGCTCTTTCAAAAGGGTTTCATATGGCAGAAATATCCTAGTGTAAGTCTGAACTTTAATTTAAACCACTGCAAACCATGGAAACTATTTTGAATGGAGCTGTTGTTTACGACTACAGATCCACATCGCATTGGCTTTCCAGAATTCCACAGGAGTTAATCTTTACTGTGTTACAAAAAGCAGACACATTTGACTGGAACAGACAAGTTGCTAAGGTCACTCTGAACATTTGCTACTCCACAAAAATCAACGAGCAAGGTCAGTAGTTGCAGTAGATAGGGTACATTTGAATAGGTGTTTTTCCCATTTTTCCTGCCGCTGAGATTTGTACCATGGCAACATGCTCACACAAATATTCTTCAAGAGTTCTAAAAGAAGTGGGGCACCCTGGAGCACTTTTTTATTTTTCTGAGCACCCCAAGGATGTGGATGTCTAAGTGTTGAAGCAGGTACAATGCATTACTGCCCTGTGCGGTTGTACAGTACTGGAGGGGTATTAAGTAGTGATATCAATATTATACTATTATACAATCAGAGAGTAGACTAGAAAAATACTATATTGTACACATGTGATCTCCATCATTTCTCAGTGGTTGCTTCAAAGCACAGTAAAGTTGGTTAAGTAAATTTAAAAATAAAAAAATAGGTACCTTGAGCTACTACTATTTTCACTCCAGTCTGAGATGGGGCTGTCTGCCCACCAAGCATTGAAGTAGCGAACAATATTTGGATGATAAAGACGAGCTAAAGCCTTTACTTCTTCTTCATGTTTTGTGTGCCTAAAAACATAATATTAAACATATCATGAAAAATAATACTAGGAAAATCTTCAAAGTAAACAAAATAATTAAAGGCTCCTATATGCCTAAGAGACATATCATTTAAAAATGGTTTCAATTAAAACATGCTGGAATTAGTCATCCTATGACCTTTTTATTATCCGTAAATATGCTGTTCTTGGTTAGCCAACAGGTAGCAAACAAAATAAACAGAAGCAGCATTGTGTTTCATTCCAAAACTGAATTTACTTCTGTGAATAGTTCTGTAAAACTGCAATACAATCACATAAACTGAAATTGCAATATGCTTGTAGACACATCTCTCAAAAATGCATACAATGAACACATTTCTTACAAACAGCTGTGTACAAATCACATTGAATACATTGAAATGTGATCTAGCTATGTATGTGACTTTAACAAACACAATGAAAGAACTTACAGGCAAATGTGTATCAAAGGGAGAATGAAGGAGACCTTCACTGGTGTTCCTCTAAACGCTAAAAAGGCTGCAGTGGTTTATGGGAAAAATATTTTATTCTTAACAAACATGAGACACTTCCTGTTCTTTATTGATAAGGGGTGCAAGTGAAGGGCCAATAGATGGCTCCCTACTTAACACAATGACAATATACAGAACAACAAAAACACAGTGGACTGCCCGATTAATGGCAGCAGATGGTATGAAGACCTGGGAACAAGCACAGAGATCATGCCAGCTAAATTCCCAAAAGATGTAAAAATTATTAAATGATTATTTCTCGAATTTGTAATGAAACTAAAAACTGAAAAATGCAATTCATGGCAACTTATGAAACTCTGTGCTGGTAGGAGCAGAGAGCCACAGCAGGGTACTGGCAAAGAGGAGGTAAGGGACCGCTCTGTGCAACATGATTACATACAGCATGTAAGTATAAATCTGTTTTTTTGTATTTTAACACAAAAAAACAGCCTTTAGTACACTTTAAGGTACACACCCAATGAGAGAAATGCATAAGCTGCCATTGGTGGCTTTCTGAAATTCATGGTTGCCTTTATTTATTCTGATTATTTCTGAAACCTATGCAGGAAATGAAAGATGGAAAAAGTCAGAATTCCTTGTGTCTATCTGTGTTCTGAGCCAAAAAATTCTCAACCAAAACATCAGCATGATGACAGCCAAGCAGATAGGATTTTGAGAAGGAGCAGTCAGCAGCAGCAATCTTCTCTCATATCAGATTTCATTTAAAGGATAAGTTCACCTTTGTTCACTTTTTTTTCCATCTAAATTCCACGTTTTCTAAATTCCAAAGTGGGTAGAAAAAAAGGAAAGCTTTTGAATTTATACAAAAGAAGTACATTAATGCTATATTAGTACATAGAGGAGCTGGAATTTAGGAAAACAAATGTGAACAAAGGTGAACTTATCCCTTAAATAGATAAAGCTAATTTCCAGTATATGCATAATACTTACCTGTGTTTCACAGGTATTTCTTTCACAGCATAGTCCATGTCATCCAGAATCTTCCTTGTTTTGAATACTCGGCCAAATGATCCCGAATCTAGTTTACTGACATCCTTAAAATCGTTAAGTGGACTGACACAACAAAAACAAAAAGGTATTTTGATTACCTTGTTAAATACTTACATATTATTCTATACAATTACTTACAACTATAAGAACTGTGCCAAGCATTATTTTCATCTAGACTCAGGCAAACACAATATGTGAGCTACACACTTATGTTGTGGCAAAAGTTCACTAAAATGTATAAAAATATATACTGCATACAGAACTCATCATCAGAAAAATAGTTCAGTTACATTGCATATTACAGTATGTTAAATCAGGGTTTCACTCCAGTTATGTCACTTCCTACAAAATCTTTTTTTACACAAACATTGCAGATTCAGATCCCCACCCAGGAGAACCACCTTTCTAGCACATTTTACCCATCTCGACTATGATTCAGCAAATATTTTGAAGGAAGTGATGTCACTGGAGTGTGGCCTTGCTTTAATACAATGTTAGTACAGTACAGAGCAGGAATGAACTCCAGCGCCCAGTACTCAGGTGGCTCACAGTGCGGAATGGCACAGCTTGGGAGCAGCGAGACTTTAGAGTTCATCACATATTATACCGGTAATACACGCATACAACTGTCTATTTTTTTTTTATAGAAAATCATTAAATGCCCATTGAAACTTTTCTGTGTGTTAACCCAATTTTTCTGTATGCGTTTTTCTAGCGCACAAACGCGCATTGCATTTTGGGCAACCAACAAGCCTCAATGCATGGAGAAATGTAACTGCACTTTTTTTGGCAATGCATCACACACCACAATAAACAGCATTCTCAACCATCTGTTATAGTGCACTATATTGCAGGTGTTTTTCTATGCCCATTTCTAAGTATATGTTGTGTTAACATGTAATATAATGTAGATTTTAATACATCCTTCGGGCTTGTTCACACCGGCATTGCTTAGTTAATACTTAATGCTAATTTAAGAGTATAAATGAATATGGATGCTAAATGAAACAACAGCAATAGTATAAAGAAACACAGTGTAATGAAGTCAGCATTATTAGTGTAAATTTGAAACAAACAGCTGCATGCAATAGGTATAGATATACACTACACCCACAAGAAAAATAAAAAAGTAATTGCAGCGCTCAGTAGTTACAATTCGTGAATATTTATAGTCCACCAAAAGAAATATGTGCAAAATTTTACTCTGTTAAAAAATATTTCAAATAAATTCCAGTTCTTCCACTGATGTATCACAACCTGTTGTGTGAACATCGTACATGAACAGATGAACAATCCAAAGTTGTCCTTGCTCAAACCCTCACCACACAATAGGAACAAATGAAAATGTATGCCTAGGATGATTTCCCCTGGAGGTTAACTAATGCTGCTCCAAAGATCACAGTGTCTTCCTGGCATTTTAACCACTTGCCCTCCAGAGGATTTATCCCCCTTCATGAAAAGGCCATTTTTTGATGTTTGGCACTGCACTCTTTCAACTGGTAATTGCGCGGTCGTGCAATGCTGTACCCAAACTAAATTTAAATCCTTTTTCACACAAATAGAGTTTTCTTTTGGTGGTATTTGATCACCTCTGCGGTTTTTACTTTTTGCGCTATAAACAAAAAAAAAAGACTGAAATTTAAAAAAAAAAAAAACCAATATTTTTCACTTTTGGTTATAAAAAATATCCAATAAACTCAAAGTTAGTCATAAATTTAGGCCAAAATGTATTCTGCTACATGACTTTGGTAAAGAAAATCTCAATACGTGTATATTAATTGGTTTGTGTGAAAGTTATAGCGTCTTACGTAGCTTTTACTTTTTGACTGCCTACTATCACATTTCTTAAGGTGCTAAAATGCCAGGGCAGTACAACCCCCCCCCCCCCCCCAATAACCCATTTTTGGAAAGTAGACACCCCAACGATTTTGCAGAGAGGCATGTTGAGTCCATGGGACATTTTATTTTTTGCGACAAATTTTTGGAAAATAACAATTTATTTTTTAACACAAAATTGTCACTTTAATGATATATTGCTCATGCATGCCATGGGTATATGTGGAATAACACCCCAAAACACATTCTTCCACTTCTCCCAAGTATGGGGATGCCACATGTTGGAGACTTTTTGGCAGCCTAGCTACATGCAGGCCCCCAAAATCCAATGACCACGGGCAGGCTTTCAAAGGGCATATTTCCTCATATCACTTCCCCACTACCTATCACAGTTTCAGAGGCCCTAAAATGCCAGGATAGTACAAACACCCACCCTCTCAAATGACCCCTTTTTGGAAAGTAGACACCCCAAGGAATTTGATAGGAGGCATGATGAGTATTTTATAGATATAATTTTTGTCACAGGGTTCTGAAAAACAAAAAAAAAGAAAAGAAAAAATAAATTTTTCTTTGTTTTCCAAAAATATGTGGCAACAAATGCAAAACACTCACCATGCCTCTTAGCAAATAGCTTGGAGTGTCTACTTTCCAAAAAGGGGTCATTTGGAGGGGTTGCTTTTACTATCCTGGCATTTACGGGCCAACATTAGAAGCTTATGCCACATATCTTCCACTCTTGAAGACCAAGCCTTTTCTGACACTTTTTGTTCACATGAAAAAACAGGGTTTTTTTGCTAGAAAATTTCTTTGAACCTCCAAATATTATATATTTTTTAAAGCAGAGGCCCTAAAGAATAAAACGGCAGGTGTTGAAATGTATTATGTCACATAGTAGTTGCGCAGCAATTTTTCAAATGCAAATCTTTTGGGAAAAATACACTTTTTAGAATTTTAATGCACAAAATCACAATATATTGCCCAACTGTTTGATACAATATAAAAGATGATGTTCCGCCAAGTAAATAGATAGCAAACATGACATGCTTTAAAAATGCGCATGCACAGGCAATGGCAACAAAGTACATACATTTTCATTATCAATAGGCGACGCTTTAAAAGCCTTTACAGGTCACCAATTTATATTTACACAGGAGATCTAGTGATAGGATTACTGCCCTTGATGTTATGTTCACGGCGATACCTCACATGCATGGTGCAAACACTGTTTACATACCGACACGGGGTCAACGCTTGCGCGCAAGTGCAATGGGGCAAGGGTGCTTTTTTTTAGTTATTTTTTTATTATTTTTACACTGTGCCCTTCTTTTTTTTATCACTTTTATTGCTATAACATGGAATGTAAATATCCCTTCTGACTCCAATAGGCAATGACAGGTATTCTTTTTTTGAGAAATCTGGGGTCTATCAGACTCTAGATATCTCCTCTGCCCTTACATTATCTAATCTCACCAAGATCGGTGTGATCAGATGCTTTCCCAATTTACAAATGGCGCTGTTTATATCCTGAGAAACTGAAGTGATGAAAATGTCGTAGCTTCCGATTTCTCAGACTATAGAGATGATTGGAGCCATTCTGGTCTCTGATCAGCACTACGGTCAGCCAGTGGATCTGCCAGCTGCATTCTCAGACTCCCCTGTAGGACAGGAGAGCCCAAGAAAACTGTGGAAGGCGACAGGAAGGGGGGGGGGGGGGGGTCCCTTCCCGCTGCTTGTAAAAACAATTCAGCAGCTAACTGGCCAGCTGAAAAAAACGATAACTGGATGATGCCTGTAGCTGCAGGCATCATCCCGGTAAAACCACTCAAAGTCCAATGGCGTACCAGTACATTGCTGGTCCATCTTGGGCATATATGTAACAGCAGAGAGCACAGGCATACGATGAATTGGCTCTGTGGATCAAAATGACCGCAATCAATTTTTTTGCAATGTCTATGTTGAAGGTTAGGCCCAAAAACGTTTTAAATTCAAAAACCATGATAGGTTTCCATGCGAATTGTCTGGCAAGAGCTGAATTTGGGTGGGCGGCGATGTATTGTTGGATGTATAAATTGCTTTGGCCCACAACCAGTTGGTACAAACCTTTTGTGAAAAACAGCAGAATGGCTAAGCACTAGTGCTCGCAGCGAACAAGGCTGATCTTGCTAACACTGCATTTTTAGGAACACTATACTAAGCAGGCACTAGTACAGTTCTGTTCATGATCATTATATTGTTCTGTAATTGGGGTGATTGGCGACCTATAGCATGAGTGTGATAGTGTGCGGGCAATCTAACGCTAGCTGACCCTGGCTGGGTGGAGCGCTTACTGACTCTGACGTTATCTGATGTCGCTAGTGGCAGGAATGCAGTGATCAGTGAAAAATTTTATATACTGACACTGGCTGGGTGACAGGGCGATCACAGGGTTAATAGGGATGATCAAAGGGTTAAATGTGCTAATCTATTGTGTGTGTGTAAAATGTAGTCCTTTTACTCAGTGCTGTGTTCTCTCTTTTCTCCCTAGACCGGGGAGGGGGAGCAGGGGGCGCAGGAAGCGATGCAAGATTATGTCACTTTGCCAAGGTGAAGAGCCGGCAACTTGTTCTCCTGATGAAAGGAATATGAATACGTTTTTTTAACTGAAAAGCGTAAGCTCCTGTAATTTGCACACTGTACTCTTTATGAATAAAGTACTTTTATCGGAGAACAAGTTGCCAAATCTTCACCTTATACTCCTACACAATAGGAACACACCCACTGTGTCAATCCTTCACTATATAGGAACATTGCAAACTCACCACAATGTCATACTGTCTAAGGATAGAACAACAATTAAAAAAAAAGATTTTCTAAATTTGGTTATAAAAACATATCTAATAAGATCAAATTTCTTAATAAATTTAGGCCAAAATGTATTCTGCTACATGTCTTTGGTAAAAAAAAAATCCCATTAGGTGTATATTAATTGGTTTGTGTGAAAGTTATAGCATCTACAAACTATGGTAAAGACATTGGAATTTACGCAGCTTTTACTTTTGGACTGCCTAACACATTTCATGTGTTAGGCAGTCCAACATAACATGCCAGGACAACCCCCCACCCCCCAAAGAACCCCTTTTTTGGATAGTGGACACCCTAATGTATTTGCTGAGAGGCATGTTAAGTCCACTGAAGATTTTATTTTTTGACACAAGTTTTTTGGAAAATTAAAATAAAATGTTTTTTTT